CTGTGAGCGTGAGAGATATCTAATGGCTTCGGCCGCGTAGGTTCAAGTCCTGCTCGTGACGTTTTGAAGTTATTGTGATGCCTAGTACCTGTCAGTTGAAGACCTCTTCTAATTGGACATGGAATGATGATCCTTAACAAAACTTCAATCGCTTTGATATTTTGGTGATTATTATGTCAAAGATCTACGCTGAAGCTCTAGGTCCACTTTGTGCACAAGACTAGCAGACCCGTCGGGGATAACAGCTCACAGGCCCAGCTCATTCCAGCCGCGGGTCTCACCCTTTCCTAAGCTATTCGTTCTCTGTTAGTTCCAGTGCGGCCTCTAGAGCCTTCATAGCCCCTAATAATTCTGCATCTAGCACCTCTTCCCCATGCTTAATGCCACGTGCTTTTCCGATGAGTTTTTAATTCCTCTTCCGAACAAAACCCAAAGTGGAGCGTCCGTGTGGATCCCAACTGATGGAAACCCGACCGTGCACATTGTGCGCTCTTGATTGGCTCACGTGGTGCGGGGAAAATTTAAATAAATTGGCAATCCTGTAGTATAGAAATCAATTCACGTATTATTAGTCTCAAGCTTTACTCACATTACATTGTTGATTAGTTGGAGCCACGAGACACCTGCGTGAAGTCATTGTGATCATAAACTGATCAACCAGAAGCCACATCCGTATCTTTCTGACGAACCATACAAATACGCGCGTGTGTCCGTTCTTAGCATATTGTCGATCCACCTTACGCAGTCTTTGCCTTTTAACGGTTTTGGGCCTGCATTTGAAAGGTAACCAGTCAGAGTCTAGACTTCAGGAGCTTCTGCTTCCGGGATTTCTCGGTCACTTTGTCATTTTTAATTGGAAATCTTATACAGAGCTGGCGATAGGAAGGTGTGGCGTTGGCAAATTTTTGATCGAATATCTGACCTGCAGAGATTTCACGACCGCACAATCCCACAAATTAGATATCTACACCTCAATTATGAAATGCATACAAGATAAATCCTGATTGATGTTTATTTTATAACAACTGATTAGACCTACTTTCTTATTGCTGACAAATACGAACTCTTCACATTCTAGACGTGTCGGAGGAATCACTCAGTATGCTCTGAATTCTTTAAATGTCTGGGATATTATTATTATTATTATTATTATTATTATTATTATTATTATTATTATTATTATTATTATTATTATTATTATTATTATTATTATTATTATTATTATTATTATTATTATTATTATTATTATTATTATTATTATTATTATTATTATTATTATTATTATTATTATTATTATTATTATTATTATTATTATTATTATTATTATTATTATTATTATTATTATTATTATTATTATTATTATTATTATTATTATTATTATTATTATTATTATTATTATTATTATTATTATTATTATTATTATTATTATTATTATTATTATTATTATTATTATTATTATTATTATTATTATTATTATTATTATTATTATTATTATTATTATTATTATTATTATTATTATTATTATTATTATTATTATTATTATTATTATTATTATTATTATTATTATTATTATTATTAATTCATTTTATTGTCCTGTCTGAGTCTATGACTATGTAGGACATGCAGGTTCTCTCTGCGTACAGGCCAAGGATACCTATACCAGTAGTATATCCCCTCCTATGCCTCCCATACAGCTACCTTCAAACAGTACCACCCCTCACAAGTCCTCATTCGATCATACACTAAGAGGAGCCCTTAGCCCTTCATTATCTCCCCTCTCCAGCCAATGAAACGATCGCCCTTTGCGGGTGTATGGCAGCTGGGAAAAATCGCAAAAAACCACTGGGTGCGGAGCTCTTCTAATACCGACATTAAGGATAAATCCGAAGACATATTTCCCCTTCTGAAGCGTTCGAAGAGGCCGGCCAGCTGGGCGCTGCAGACTTGTGCGTACCTAGGAGAATTCACACTCTGCCTTTCTAGCCTCCTTCCAACTCTTTCCCGAAGGTCATGCTGAAATGTCAGAAAAGTCTTGACAGAGCGTGATTGCTGTACGGTAGCTTAGCCCAACTTCTTTTGTGCCGTCCAGGGCGCTGGGGAGTGCTGTTGACTCATCGACAAAAGAAGCCCTCCTCGCTAACTAGCCGAAATCTTAGTCTTGGCGCCCGCAAAAAATCCAAGGTTGAAAAGTCCTCGAAAAAGTCAGTCCCAGCAAGATCTTCAGAGACCCCTTTCCCCGCTCGCTCCGCATCTCAGCCGCCTGTCCTTCCTCAAGATGTATAACCCCATTAGAGCAGCAGTCCCCCATAAACCAAAACCCCAATTTTGTATATTATGACTTAATTTCCTCCTTGCAGGTATATATAGCGTCGTAAATCTGTAGTGAGTGATGGCCGGTGATGAAAGAGGCAAGCTCCTGTTTGCAATTGGGGTGATGCCTTTATCGGTCGGCGAGGCGAGATGATATATACTTAGAAAGAGGTTGAGGACTCAGAAGATAGTGGTGAGTGCTGTATGGTTGAGAATTCGTCAAATGCAGAAATGCATGTATTTGCTTTCAACTTCGATTTGGATGCGATTCTTCTTGGCTATCCCGGATATGCAGAGCATACTGAGCGATTACACCGGCACCACTAGAAGGTGAAGAATTCGTCTTTGCCGGCAATGTCTGGGATAGCCAAGGAGAGATGCAGTCTTTCCCTTCAGGATTCCCATTGATCCACGCGAGTACCAGCCGGCTTCGTCTCATCACCTCTTTTGCGAAGAACTATTTGAAATTGAGGCACAGACTGTTGTGGACGTGCGAGCCCTCCATTTTGTTTGGACTCCCGACATGATCCTGTGTGTATTTCAGAGATTGGAATGAGTAATATGGTAGCGCATCAGACTACCTAATGGATACATGAGCGACCGTGTAGCGTGGGCGCAAGGAGTCTATTGGCGGGTTTTCTATGCCTAGACGGCGCCACAATTGTTTATGCAGTGGCTTATGCAACGTGTCGCTGACGCTTGTGCTTACAGCGCACACCTCACACTCTCTTTGCAGTTATTCAAAATGGAGACTGTTTATGTAAGCTTCTTATTTTTCAGAAATGTTGAGCCCAATCCATTGCGCGATATTTTTAGGATCAACTTGTATTCAGCTATCTATATATGACAATATTGCGCAATATTGTAGAACTGGTGATGGCCAGAATTCCAATGCTTAAGGGTAATAAACACTGAGGGTGAAGGAAGACCTTTCAAGGTGTTTCCATGATAATTAGAGGAATGATGGAGCACTGTCTGGAAAGTGTTTCTAGATTATACTTCGAGACAGAGGATACTAGAGTAGGAAAATACTGTACACCTGTACGCAGTGCTTTCTACGAACCATGGAGTGAAATACTCTCCCGGAGCCAGGTTTAGTCAAATTTCTCAATACCAATGAAGTTGGCCCACGAGGCAATGAGTTAAAATACTCCATCATGTCAAGGTTTTACTCCCAACGAGATCGACTCATACCAAAGCCTTATCAAATCTACAAGTACGACCTAGTATATTCTGATCCCGATGAATACACCTCTTGTCGACTTTCTCTGGCCTCAGCAGGTCTCCATATACACGCCCACGACGATGTTTATACCCGACGGAGGAAGCAAAGCGTGGTGCACAAATCAGTGACACATTTCTTAGGGATGGACGTGAGAAGGATCAGGTCAAGTTCACAAGATGATGCAGAGGAAGGGAATAAGTTCGAAGGGCGTGAAATTCTGGAGTGTAGCAAGGAGTTTTTATAAATTGAGTTTTGTGGGTGCCAAGTCTTTGGTTGCGAGAGTGCAGGCGACTTTATAAACACCGCCATGGTTGGATAGTGCGGTGGTACATCGTGATGGCCGGTCTGCCAATTAAAGTCTGGATAGCTTGGACACATATCCCACTCGAGACAGTAGATCGCTCATTCAAATCCACAAAAATACAACCACTTTTCTCGCGGCGCTAGTAGGCATAGATGACGAAGGCATACTTGGATAATCAACAGATTTGGATTTCCCTTTCGTGGGTCTATGCGGAGGATGGTCGACTGTTTGTGAAAGCAAGCATACCTCATAGTGGTATTTACGAATGAAATCCAGAGTATGAGTGTCTCTAACATCAAAAGACTCTTCCTAAATGTATACATAGCACCAGTCATATGTCATAGATAGATAGCTGAATAAACTTAAATGATTTTTTTTAAAAAAGAAAAGCAGACGACCATGTGTTCACACTGGTGTCCAATCAGAAGGCAGATGTCGGCAAGAGAGGGCCGGGGCACCCGCGAAACCATCCCGTGGCCACAGGCCCACCACCTCCAGTAACAGCACCATCGGGGTCTAGCTTCAGAACACATTCATCTCTTTTCAGCACGCAAGGGCAGGGAAAGGATGACAAGGTCACCTACAATTTTAGCTAGTCCTGTGTCAAACCAAGGGCATATTGCGCTTCATGTAGATTAAAGAAGAACTACAGAAATAATTTGAAGGAGTAGGGGGTTTTATCGGAAGGTTTCCCACTCCTGTAAAATATCTGTAGATAGAGTTTATAGCCACCTGCATGGGTCAAAAGGGCGCCAAATCGGTAAATGAAATCAAAATCAATTATAATAAAGCTAGTAGAAATTCGGTTGCATGACTGAAACGATTATAGAATTGGTTATATACTGACATGATCTGGATGATCTGGATGATTGGAGAAGGCGAGGCATCACACGGCGAATAAATCACAACCAGTTTTACTCCTTCATATTCTAGGTATTTTGGGACTTATTCTATTTAGTACGTCATATAGATTTACATATAGAAGCTACATTGTTTACATGGTATAAAAAAAATAAGTCATCTTTGTCATCATGCCATAAATAACTAAGTCAAACAAATGCTGATATAAACCTCGCTCATAATTGTCCCACTTACGCTTTATCAGTGTTTCAGAGTGATTGTTCGATTCATGATCTTACCTCCTAATAGATTGATGTTGGGTTAGCAAGGATAGACAAATTGAGCAGCTAGTTCAAATTGTGGAAGGTTTATCTTACCTCTTATCTGTTCTATTGTGTTGCTAAATGCCATTACCATTCCATCGTACATAGGATTAGGGTCATTGGGTGTGCCAAGTTCCGGAATGGCCTCCCCAAACAATATATTTCGTAACTTTATAGCTAAGTCCTTCAAATCAGAAAAACTTATCGAGAATACATCCAAAATGTGCATGCGGAAATATGTCACACATTTTATTTTTTCGCTTTCATTGCTGCTTATATTGTTCGAGCACCACATTTGCAATTTTATTACCTCCTTCGAACTATTTTTGCGTTCGTACTCTATGCACCCCACAAGAAACACGTAAAAGAACGATTCTAGGTCATGACGATACGTGCATTGAATTGTTGAACCATATGTCGCAGCATAGCTTAATCTTTCAAGCGCCATGAACTTCATGGTTCCTGTCAATAGACTATTGTCATCTTTTTTCCGATCATCGTTGAGTGAAACAGCATGATCAAGGTCAATCAACATCCCTTGTATGCTATTGTCCCCATCTGGCCTTACTAAAACAATATTTCCCTCAGAGATGTCGCAGTGAAGAATATCCTTTTCAAAATAAAGTCGCCGGTGAGCCACGATGGAGTCTCTTATTACGATGAGAAACTCGAGAATCGTCCTACTACAATGTAGGGGGCGTCCACGTGGTGTGACAACCACTCTGATGAGATGTCGATCTCTTTTGAATGGTTGTAGAGTTGGTTTCCGGGGTCCTGATCCCTTGGAGATGGACTTATTTTTGCCAGCCATGCTCCATTCTACAGCACCCGAGAAGTCAAGTTTTTGAACATGATTTTTGATCTGCCAGATCTTGTCGGACATGACATATTCGACGACGCCTTCTGTCCCCTTTGCTTCTTTCAAAAGATTAACTTCGGTATTTCCTGGATCCCTGTTCCACGAATACTTGATGATGTTATCCTTATCTATCGTTTCAAAGCAAGTGGTGCCACGAGTTACCAATGTCTCTGGTCGGACAACAGGCACGGGGTTGATGTTAAATTTTTTTGAGCCCTTGGAACCCTTTTTGTTTACCAGGACAAAGTATTCTCCGTCTTTTTCCTTTATAGATTTATCAAAACCAAGCTCATCCCTGCTCATAAGAAGGTAGGAGGAAATGGCTCGCACCAAGTACTCCTGGCTATGTTTGATACTTATCAGGCCCGTGCTGTATGCGCCCGAGCGATCAAACAGCCACAGCTCAAGGTCTGATTTGTATAAGCAGAATCCATGGAGAAATCGGCGCAGTGGCTGCGAACAGAATATTTCTCGCGCGTATCTGGTTAGTTGATCAAACTTTTCTTTCCTTGCTTTTCTAACAGATTTCACACTAAACTCACCGATGACGCCGATATCTTTCCAGTCAGTTACTGCATCGAGAGGTAGGTCAATACTCTTTACGAGGAAGTCGAGTTGCCGCGGGCTTCGTGAACCAATCAACTGTCCTGATCCAACTGTTCGACAATAATGCCCTTTCAGTTGAAAATTTTTATTCTTCCTGCCAATAGCAGACCCTTCAGTAATTGGTCTGGCCTCGGATGCTGGAATCCGTTTCAAAAACCTATCCTTGAACATTTTTAACCATCCCCATATTTGATCCTCGGTCATTACCCGATTGAAGCTCTTACGTTTCAGGCTTTTATCACGCTTTTCGTAAGATTCCCAAATACGCTTCGTTTGAGAAGACCATTTTCTCCCTTCAAAAAACACTTTCCACATGTTCTTGATATCGGTGGTTACGTTGTCTTGAAGTCCATTTCTTAGCTCGACAGTAAGTGAAGCGATGTTCTGATCATAATCTTTCGATTCTGAAACACTTTGTAAGAGGTTTAATGCGGATGGCTTTGGCGATGACAAAGGTTTACTGGCTAGTGGTTTAACAAGTTCAATTGGATTGGCTATAGCAATTTCAATAGCTGTTTTCAAGATAATATGCTCTTCCGATTTAGATTTAATTGCTGCAATAAGACGATCAAATACATTTAGCGGAATATCATTAAAATCAATTCGTAAAATAATTTCATCATATGATTTGACCAGTTGCATTATACTTTTATTGGCTCCCACCTTTTTGACGTACTTTGATAAGTGCTTGTAAAAATTGGAAATAGCTACTCTGTTAGTCTGATTGGCGGTATCTAGGTCATAATTTTACCAGTTTGAGATCCTTCTTGCTTTCGGTCTTTTAGAAATTGGTCGATAATATGGTTTATTGGGTTCTTGGCATGGAATAGGAAAATATCTTGAAATTGATCCATTTCGTGAATTGTTAATGTTTAAAGTTTGGCATGGAAAGCTGAGATGGAGGAACGTGAGTTGTTGTAAGAGGTGGATCAAGGTGATGACATTGAGGTTACTGATGGATTAGTATGTGTGAAAAGTGAGACAAGCTTAGCTTTAACATGGCGTAGATCACGGGTTTCTTGTGGCTCCAAACTACTAATATGTATAGTAGAGCTTAAGACTAGATGTAACTTCATCCCTCCCGGGAAAGTTAAGGCTTATTGGATCCCAAGCCACTCTGATATATTGGGTAACATTTTGGCTGACGCCTCTGCCTGGGAGGGGTGTGCGTACGGTTTCAATGTGGCTTACGGCTGACTAGGGACTAAAAGCACGCCTGTAATAAGTATCACAGAATGCCTGGTAAGTCGTTAAGTCAGATGTAAGTTGATTTTTGCTTTCTAACCTAAAACTCTTTAATCATACAAATACTCTAATGCAAGTTTGCCTAAGTAAACGGCCACTATATGTCAGGGCATTACCTGACCTGGATATACACCCCTTAAGCCATATGAGAAATAATCCTTTCTCCCAGCTCAACTCTTCTCCTGTACCGTACTCCTCCATCTGGTACGTACCCCCTTTAATACCCCCTTAGCGCCCCCTTTCGTCTATCCAGGAGCGTTGCTTTGCCACTACCTTACCTTGGAGATGGAGTGGTCCTAGTGACCAGTTCCAATCCGGGCAAAGCCTGTCACATTACCCCCCTTTCTCTTATGAGTGACTGATTTTTTTTATCTTCCCTGTCTTACTCCTTTGCTCTCTCCGACGTTGTCTCCTTTACTGTACAAGGCTTCGAAATGGTCCATGGCCTCCACGTCCTCGAGATCAGTTCGATCTTCCCATGCCGGTTCGGCAAAGCCCTTCCATTTGACCAATACACACCGTACCCACCCTCTCCCGCGTCGGACCTTTTCTGCCCTTAATGTTATGGCTAGGCATCCCTGAAGAAGGGCGAAGTAGAAGTTTCAAGGAGAAGGTCCTCTGAATAGTTCAAGGAGAAGTTTGAAGGAGAAGATTCCCTGGGGAACCCTAACAAATTGGAGTTAGGGCGGCTAGAGTCATGATCGAATCTTGTTCCGGTCTCGGGTGGATTTAAGTGATTATTGTAGTGTACTTAATGAAGCTGGAGCTACCATGAAGGAGTTCTCCAGCTTCTCAATCTTATACTTTCATAGTCTTACATCTCTAGAAACCTCATATTACTCGTCTCGAACTCTCGTCCTCTAGTCTCAACCTTCAGACCCGTTATCCAGTATATTCCCTTGTAGGTATTTCGTCTAACCATTATTTGAATACGTACAGCAGACGGCGATCTCTAACTTATCCACCCCTCGCCGTAACACTTAAGATCTTATCGACCACCTGTTCAGGAGTCGTGTTATCTCCATCTTTTATCATCAAAGGTGAAGGTTGCGCGTCATCTTGGATCTGGGAGGGTAGCGGGTCATTTTTAGCCTTTTGTAACAGTTCCACGTGAAATCTTGGCCATATACTAGAAGGAAAATCCAGCTCTACCACTTGGGGTGATATGATCTTTACTACCGTGTATTTTGCGTTGATCCACGCTAGATTCTTCTTTGGCTGAGGCGTGGAAATGTTTTTTAAAGTCTGAGCCACACCTTATCGCCCACCCTAAACTATGGCGAAGGATCCCTCTTTGTTTAGATTAGACCAGGGTCAGGTATACACAGAGATGCTCGGAAATATTTCAGGCTACTGTTTCTCCTTGAAGTATAATCCGAAGGTCTATGATTCAAAGTGTGAGAGGTTCAGTTTTGATACATGTGTGTTAAACTGTTACATCAGTGCATGTTTAGCAGTAACACGACTCAGGGGTGTAGATGCATGGAACATGTTTAGCATAGGAAAATACCACCATCGCAAACATTAATGTAACATTCTGTAAACGGGACTGTAACTAGATCTAACCTAAAGATTAAGTCTTGATGTGTTGCTAAGTGGATGTATGACGTATGAATACTTTGGATAGATAGATTATAAGTGACCTGGACCGGAGGTGAAGACAGGCAGGCTCTATGATAAGCACATCTTTTTATATAATCAATTATCTTTCATCAATATTTACATCTACACTTTTATTACATTTTCTTTGCAATGCCTAAAGTATATTTACACATATTGACATCTGACAATCCATAATTATTTTATGCCTGTTGTCCGAGATTACAAAGTCGATAACTCTTCCTGTTTGCCTGCTCCTCCACTATCTGCTGCGCGGCTGCCATTGTGTTGTGCTCAGCTAAGGTAGCCCTGGCAGGTAGCGCATGGAGGGTGAGTGTGTCATCAAGGTACCTCAGGCAATGACAACTCACATGACATGTTTGGCGCATTTGTTCAGGGAAGGTACACTGCATGAGTAAGCATGATGGGCATATGATTTGCTGGTAAGCGAGTTCATGGGGTATAAAAGGGGAGTATTTCCCACTGTAAATTAGAATATACATCCATAGAGTCATCTACAATCCACTCTCAATAAAACATCATATCTTAGCCATCAAACGCAAGTGTACGTTCCCCATTTCATATACCAAGTAAAACAGGTTATGAGCCCGGCGCAGTACCACGCATAAATGAACCATGCTAATGATATCGCAAGTTTTCCATATTATCTTCCAAAGGTCTCAAGGAAGTCTTCAGCATGTCGCTCGCACCCTCATCCAGCTCCACCAGAATCGTCCTGTCACCAGGAGTCTCCCTCGAAGACTGGATAAACGACCTCCAAGCAAAGTTGGCCAAAGAAGGCGTTATCGGTCACGTCTATCACCAGTTCGAGGGAATCCGGCCCATTCACAGACCGGCTGCCCCAACAGATGAGATCGATTCCGTAGATTACCTCCTAGGACTGGACGCCTATGCCACTGCTGTCGAGACCTGGACACTGGGTGAGATTAGGGCTAAAAACATTATTCTGGGCCGACTTAACCCAACCATGCGACCGCGCAATCACGACCGTATCACTGCACACCAACTCTACCAGTCAATCATCGACTCGCGCAGAGAGACTGCCACAGCACCTTACGCATTAGCCCTCGAAGAATTCCTTAGGACGAAGTTTGAGTCGCATGCCGACGACTACATTAACAATTTCCTAGCAAATCTTCAAGGCTTGAATGACGCGGCAGAGACTCTGCATGCCACCACAGGCACAGAGTACCATGTGCCGAGAGGGCTGGCGGCGGCAATATTCGTCCAGGGTACCAGGCATATCCCTTGGCTAACCAATTGGAGGGACATGCGAGCATGTACGGATCAAAATTCGTACGCTACCTTGGAGTTGTTAATGTCGACCATCAGGATTGCTAGTGGTAACAGAACAGTCGATCCTACGCCCCAAGCCGCTCCACTGCCACAACCCAACCGGGTATTTGCCACGCGTGAACCTACGGAGAGATTAGATCCGGAGGCCGAATGCAGGCGATGCAACCATCGGCATAAGAACAGGGAATGCTTCAAACAGCATCCTCAGTTAGCGAATGGCCCCAGAGGTGAGCGATGGCGAGCAAGGAGGGCTATTGGTAGACAAGGCGGGACGGGTCAGGCCGCAGATGGGAATATGAGAGCTGTGACCGGCATAGATACCGACAGCTAGAACGAGGACAGTGTAGGCATGGCTGCATCAGCCCATAGTACCCATACACATCTTGTCATTTATGATACTGGTGCTTCGCACCACTTTGTCCCATGTGAATCCATGTTTCGCAACATGCACTCCAGTCATAAACCATTGAGATTTGACCAAGCCGTAGGAGACATGCAATTGACTAAGCAAGGTGTTGCACGAATCACCATTGGCAAATTAGTCATTGATCTCCACGACGCACTATACTCTCCAAAATCGTCTTGCATAATAATCTCAGCTGGTAGATTACAGAGATTAGGCAACATAACATGTGACGCTGACATGACACGCTTAATAATGTGTAAACCAAACCATGAAGAAACGCCAATAGCTGAACTACTTTGCAAAAATGACGTTTACTACATTAAACCACTCACACATCTTCCGGAAAAACGCATACACACTGCAGCCCCTGGTGTTGCAAGAGTCCCGAAGACGTCTAGTGCACAACGTTGGCATCAAAGACTGGAGCATACAGGTCAAAAGATTTTGAAAAAGACGGCGCAATGCACCATAGGAATGGAAGGATTAGACACAGCAGAATTAACCACCTGTGAAACATGCCACCTCAGTAAGGCACAACGCCATGTCTCACGAGAACCAAGACCGACCCCATTTGACCCACTAGATGAAGTGTTCATTGACACAGTTGGCCCATTAACAACAGCACATAACGGGCATCAGTATGCCGTAATCATCACCGACGCCAGAACACGCATGAGATGGGCTATCTCCACGTGCACAAAAGACCAAATTGTAACAGAACTAGTCCAATGGGTCGAGCAACAGCATCATCAATACGGAAAAAGAGTCCGCACAATCTTCAGGGATGGGGGATCAGAATTTACCCGTATCAAATTACATTGTGATCAACATGGCATTAGGACAGACATCTCTGCTCCATACACACCCGAGCAGAATGGCACCTCAGAAGCGTCTAATAAGGTCATACTGAGACGAGCTAGATCCATGCTTATAGACGCCAGAATGCCCGCATGTAACTGGCCATGGGCAGTCGAACATGCCTGCTTCATCACTAATTGTCTATATTGTTTGCGAACAAAATTGATACCATTGTTAGATTTCCTCCAAGGTCTGAAGCAGCCTTATCCCAATCAAA